TCGACTACTGTCAGCATGTTCCAGTTGTCCTTGTTGGATACACATGCTAGTGGTCTAATTAAGTCCATAGCTACTCTGTTGAATGACTTTTATGAGACATCTCACCCAGTGCCACCTTCACTCTAGGTACTGTCCTCTGGTCTTCTATTCTGTAGGTCCCTTTTTTTCTCGACTTTTTCCCAGACACTGTTCCAAAGTTTCTGAAGTGAAGGTTCTTTATTAGGTGCTTCCTTCAATTCACATAGACCTACATTCCAGATGTAACCTTTCGAGACTTGATGTCCTGCTTGCTTTTCTTCTCTGGAGCTCTACTAGTGACTGCAGAAGCCTCATCAGTCTTCTTTTTCCCATGTTCCTCCAAACTTCTGCTGCATGGCATATTGCCAATGACTAAGTCGAAGATGGGTGCCTTCATACAGATTGCCTCAAGGTTTCCATGTAGTATGGAATGTCAACCTTTATTCTTGTTATCGGAAACTTTCTCACTGTTCCATCAATTAACACACAGATGCATCCTGCCCATCATCTGGTTATCAGATACTAGACTGATTTTCACTCCTGCACTCAATATCTTGTAGGACTTTCACTTTCTTCTCCCTGACATCAGGAATGATGATGACAAAACCTTGTAGAAACGTTGTACATTTGCTGTTATATGGGTAATGAAGAAAAACTTTAATATAAGTTTAATTGTCATCATCAGGTACATAACAATATAATAATAGTTGGAGATGGCTTGAATACAAGGTTGCAAATGTACAACGTTTCGTTATGTTAAACTTATATTAAAGTTTTCTTCATTACCCTTTCTTGCCATCTCCAACTATTATTAGACCAAGTATGTTCTTCTACTCCACATTTTGTAGCAGACGAAATTCCTGGCTGTAAATCTTGAATCAATGCAGAAAGAGGACATGATAGGTTTCCTCTTTGTATTTGATATTTCATAATGCAGATGTTCGACTAAAAGACTGACGTTTTTTACCTCAATGATGCTCTTCTTTGCCTTACTTTTTGCTTGATTAATTTTATTACTAGAGTTCTTCCATACTTCTTCAATCTTATTGTACCCTCTCATGGTTTTATTTGTTGTCTTTAATTCAATTTATCTTTGGATTTAATTCTTCCTTAAACAATATGTCTCTATGTTACCAGTATGCATTTTTAAGTTGGTGTACAATAGTAAGGTATCTCACCAGTATGTAATCTCTGCACCCTAACTCAGCAAAGTTTCCGTTGCACTCTCCATGTATACATTAAAACAATTTTCACAAGTGATAACAGCAAAATCAACATTTTTTACTCGTTTTTAATCATTTTAATGAAAAAATCTTGTGAGGAATGAGTAAATGCGATGAATGAGTAAGTGTAAGGAAAGAGTAAATGTAAGGAATGAGTAAACATGAGATCGAAGAAAAAAAAAAGGCTTTAAGAAGAAAGTGGTATTTTGTTAGGTTATCCTGGTTTCAGACTCTTCTGTCATTGTTTGATTTACCCCACCAAAAGGCTGCACCCCCACAGACACCAGAACACCCCCAGGGGATGTATCCAACAGTTTGGAAAACACTAATGCATTAAGTTGGTGTACAATAGTAAAGTATCTTACCAGTATGTATTGTTGTCTTGTCTTCGGTATTTTTATGACTTCTGCAAAGTGTTTTCGTTTAATAACACGATAACCAGGAAACTAATTCTTGTAAACTTTAGTATGCCTACTTCCAGCCTGCACACCAAAACACATCATTACTTCCCAAAAGGTGCCTTTTTATATCTAGAGCCCAAAGTGATCCATGATATGTTAGTAACAGCCCAAGATACATACAATGGAAAATATTGTTTAATATTGCCCAATAGTGGAGAGCAACAGAATTTGCCCAATCAATCACATGACGGATAAGATATAATTATAGGTCACACTAATCTACATTTATAGAAGAGGAGTCAAAGCAATCACAACAAATATGTAAGTTTTATACTGATTTATCATTTTTGGTCACTTCCAATATTCTTTTCTGAACTATCCATTACTCAGTCTGTAGCATAACTACATGTCGATACTTTGTTATGATGGTATTAGGGTCTCTTTGTTTCTACGAGACAGAGAAGTTTTACGAGTTCTCTTGATGGATGCCATTTTTGTTGGTACCTTGATTTTCGATAAAATGGAACAGTCCCAATAAAAGAAAGACAAATCAAGGCATGAAGCAATGCTGGGAGCAGTAAAAGCTGTGTCTGAGGGTAAGTCTATGCAGTCGAGAAGGAATATTGAAGTCAGTGGATTCAAACTGTAACCTCAAACATTCACTAATGTTTTCAACTGAACCATAATTTGTGCTCGCACAATATTTACTTACCATATCCAAGATGTTCCATGGTCTAACACCAATAAATGCAAGAAAGCTTACACACCAAATAGTTGTAAAGAACAACATGAAAATTCCTAAAGAATGGACGACTAATGAGATGGCAGGAAAGGACTGGTTTAGGGCATTCATGAAACAAAATTACCAGCTATAAGTAAGAAGTTCAGTAGCAACTTCATTTGCACGAGCAAATGCCTTCAACCCACAAACAGTATCAAAATTCTTTGACTTTGTTGAGGGTGTTGTTAAAGAGAAACACATTACCAGGACAAACATTTACAATCTCGATGAAACAGGGTTTACAACAGTGCAAAAAGTACCAAAAGTAATTAGTGCCAAAGATGCAATATAAATTGGTCAAATAACGTCTCGTGAATGAGGCAAACTAATAACTATGTGTGCCATAACCTAAGCAGCAATGTAACATTAAACCCCTGTATTTGTGTTTTTAGAATAAATTATTATAACATTTTCTTTAATGGTTCACCTGAAGGATCACTAATGCTTCAGGATGGATGAAAAGCATTTTTTTCTCAAACTTATGCATCACTTGATGCGACATTCACCAAATTTGTCTAACAATGGACATTCACGAAAGCCATATTTCTATTCCTGCATTAGGATATAGAAAAGAAAATGGTGTTCCCCTCTCATACAAGCCATAAAACTCAACCATTAGAATTCGATTATACAGTATTAGATCACATAAAAGGGTAGTATAATGCTGTTGGCAACAACTGAATGATGAAAAATTTAGGAAAACTTCTCACTGTCTATCAGAGTGGACAGCTAGTTAGAGAGGCATGGATAAAGGCAGCCAACCCGTGTAACATATTGGCTGGTTTCAAAGCAGCAGAAATATGTCCATTCAACCAAAATGTATTTAGCAAAGATGCATTATGCTATCATTTGTGACTGACTATCCCATTCTAGCACCATGTACAGAACCCATATCTTCCTCACGGCAAAGAACCAACATCATCTACCTGAATTGTTCAACAAAGCAAGATGTCTAACTCTTCTATAGATGTACCAAAAATGGTACCTACATCACTATAGGCAGCTGCAGATACGTCAATCAACAGGACACAATCAAATGACCCTGCCTCTCCTCAGACTGGCTTTATAACTCCTGAATGCCTTTCTGGTTATCCAAAGGTAAGAAAATATTTACTCACATAATGCATTTCTTTGACTTTTGACAGTTTTCAACACAATTTAAAAAGTTTTATGACTGGACTTAAAATAATATTCAATTTAAATATTCAATGTATTTTTGTTTGTTTGTTTGTTTTTTGAATTTCGCGCAAAGCTACACGAGGGCTATCTGCGCTCAATGTATTTTTAGGTACCACAAAAAAAAACACACAAACCAATCGAGGAAAAAATAGAGGCAATGACTGCTACCTCCACACCAAAGTTAAATCATCTGCGATTTGAAGCAGAACACAACAGGCTTAAAGAGTACTAAGACTAAAAAGTAACCTGAAGCTTGGAATAGGCTTATCACACAAAAGAAGAATAAAACTACTCTGCCTCAAGAGTCTGACATATCAAGTGATGAAGAGGTACCAATTACTAATGATGACACATCAGATGTCAGTGATAAAAAGACTGAAGCTACATTAGGTGTTGTTAATTTTGATAACATGAAAATGAACACTTATATAAATTCTAGTAGAATCGACCCATTTATTATGTAGGGAAAGTGGTGGTTGAAGTCAATAGCAATAAGGATATTGAAATAGATTTCTTGAGAAAAAGTTCAAAAGTGAAAAATAGAGGGTATTTTATTCATTAGGAAAAATCAGATTCAAGTTATACTACCTAAATTATTGCACACAAGCACAACTAATTGCGCAGCAAATGGTGCTGGATTTGTAGTCAATTTTGGAGAGTTAGAAGTTTCTTAATAAAAAGCAACATGTACATTCTGTTGCTAAATTGACTCTAGGAGTACTACTAATATTTATCCAAGTATCCATATACAAACTGAATCAATGTATAGTAGTGTTTTATTTCTTTATAACTTCTATGTAAAGTAACAAATTGGGTGAATAGTAAAGTTCTTTTTTTTAACATGAATATCAGATTGGGTTCAGATATAAACATTTATTGTGTTCAAAGTAAAACTTTAAGTTAGTTAAGCTTGTGTATGAATAAAAATTGAAGGTTTCTGAAATGTGTTCCTCATTAAAGTACTCACCCATCATAAAATAAAGAATAAACTAAATGTTGCCAAGAATAATGTTGTCCCTGATAATGTCCCAGTTAACCTTCATTTTGATTGATTTAAACAGTGGATCAAACATTACAGTAAATCAGATAGAAGTACACTGCTATTTCAAAATATGTCTTTAGAGAATTGTGTCTTGAGACATTTTGGCACTCTTTATACTGCAACAGCTATGAATATGTAATTATGTATCCAAGGGACCAGGTCTCCTCGTCTCACTTGTGCATATCTATCAATAGATGGGGGCAACCTGTGATGCTACTCTTATTAGATTCAATCTTTTGTAACATCATGCATCTTGCATGTTTATATTAAGCACTTACCATTACATCAGTTACGACAGCTAAATTTTTTTCTTCTAATGTAGAAAGTTTTATTTCAACAACTTCTTGACAGTTCAATTTTAAAAACTACGAATAACAAGCATGAGAAGGTAGTTTTGTTTAATCTGTAAATACACATTTCTGTTTGTGTCTGAATAAAAATTACATTATAGATTTCACTTTGCTGTTTGCATTTTTACAAACACCCATCAATTAAGATGTAATGTACACCATCATCCGTTAGAAGAACAAATGATAATTACTTAAAATATGATGTTGACCTCAACATGTTAGAAGAATAAACATGAATCACTTATAATTTTACGTTGACCTACATCTACAAAGATATGTTATTTGTTTAGTGTCTTATCATACTGGGTCTACTAAAATCCTTGAGTTTCGAGGTATATTGCTTATAATCCAAGTACAGACAGAGATGAAACAATTTTTGATGATAAGACAGAAATATTATAGTTAAACAGAAAATAAACACAAAAAAAGCAAGAACTTTGTAGAAAAGACCAAATGCTGTAAGGTAAACAAGAAAACTTGAAAGGAATTAACCCATTCACTGCATCTGGGGCATATTTTCCAGTGCTCCCACCCCTCACATTGTGACTGGGACATATGTTTCCACTGTTTACGTCTTCCTCTGGTGGGTCCCGGTTAATCATCTTGACTATCATCATTAGATGGAAAGCTAGCATCCTCTTGTCTCATTGCCTCTTCATCATCACACATTTGAACACAACTTGACTCACTTTCACTATCTTCTAAACTATCCGAGTCAAGCACATCATGCATACTTACACAGTAATTAGGGTTACTACTAGCTGCTGTAGTGATGCAGGCATGGTCAGCATGCTGTTGTCGTACATCTCACTTATGCATCCAATTGGTTACTGAAGGACTGAGTGGAAAACATTGAGGTAAATCATATATCAGTATTAGGTGGGATGACAATAAATACTTTACAACTTATTTTACTGCCGTACATCACGAACATCAATTATGGATGACCATGGTAAACATTTGTCCCAGTTTACCAATGTGAGGGAGTGGGGGTACTGGGAAATATTGAAAGAGTTATTAAAATAAAAAAATTTTAATTTCATAAAAACTGATTATAATCTCATGATATTAAACCCCAGTGTCATTGCTATTAAGAAAGACTGTAGTAAATGTGTGATATTTAATATAATTAAACATTAATCAGGGAATATGGTAGGGATCCATATGTAGGGATTGCCCAAAGTACTAATCATGATCTCTGATCAGTGAACAGTTATGTCCTTTATATGAAAGTAGATAATACACTGTATACTCCTTACTGCACAGTGCAGTATTACGGTCATGACTTATCTTGTTTCAAGAGTAATGTCTACAGATTATATTATGAACTGAATGAATTGATGAAATGGTGCCTTTCATTTAGAAGATACAGCCCTCCTGGAAGCCAAGACTTTGACTCACAAAAAGTGCAGAAACTTGTAATTAAAAATGTTATTCTAAAATTGATGGGATGGAGGGATGAAAAGAGATAAGAAACTTGATAGCACCTAAGATCGGATGTATTACCCATTCCTACATTCCACCACCTAACGTATATATGCATCCTCCCCAAGAGTTCACTGTATGAGTGATGGAATGTAGGAATGTGTAATGCAGACTTTCCTCCCATCCCAAATACTCTCTGGTTTCTGATGTTTTTCTTCATCACATCAACTTCAGAATATAATGTTTTACTTGTATTTTTAAAGGAATTGACAGGAATGATGCATCACCTTTTTACATACTTTAAGACAGAAATATACATTTCAGCAGAGACATTTTCAGCTGAAACATCTTTATATTTTTAAAATGGTGGTTGGATTTTGGAAAAGGTTTCCTTCAGATGTGATGCATTTTGTTATTTTAAGGGAGTTAAAGGGATAAATCTTAATGAATGTGTGAGATTTTTTTCAATTTTTAAAGGTTTAGTTTAATTTAGCGAATACACATGGACCAAATGATCCCTTGTTGTCATTAACGTTACATGGTATGTTACAAAGCTACACATTAGGCTATCTGTGCTGTGGAAACAACTGGGATCAGCACCCAATTAGTATTATAAGCTCCCAGACTTACTGATGAGGAATTGAGGGAAGCTTACACAAACATAACTTTTCTCCTCAGTGTGTATTCTTCAACGTGTTTTTAAGGTACTATCTGCATGAAAGTTTTTCCACACACATTGTACAACTGTAAAGTTTCTCCCCGATGTGTTTTTGATTCACCCTTTGTTCCAAACTGTTTTCCACACACCATACAAATGTAAGGTTTCGCCCTGGTATATCTTCTTTCATCTGTTTTTAAATGAGTATTTCTTCCAAAAAGTTTTCCACACACTGTACAACTGTAAGATTTCTCACCAGTGTGTGTTAATTAATGTATTCTTAATTCACCATTTGTTAAAAACTGATTTCCACAATCCGTAAAACTAGATAGTTTCACCCACGTGTTTTCTTTCATGAGTTTTTAATACACTGTTTGTTCCAAACTGTTTTCCACACACTGTACAAATATAAGGTTTTTCCCCAGTGTGTATTCTTTGATGTATTTGTAATTCACCATTTCTTCCAAAGTGTTTTCCACAGTCTGTACAAATGTAAGGCTTCTCCCCAGTGTGTATTCTTTGATGTGTTTTTAAGGTACTGTTTGTACCAAAATGTTTTCCACACACTGCACAACTGTAAGGTTTCTCACCAGTGTGTGTCCTGTGATGTTTTTTTAAATCACCATTTGTTCCAAACCGTTTTTCGCAAACTGTACAACAATAAGGTTTCACCCCAGTGTGTATTCTTTGATGTCGTTTTAATTCACTGATTGTTCCAAACTGTTTTCCACACACTGTACAACTGTAAGGTTTCTGCCCAGTGTGTTTTCTCTCATGTACTTTTAAGCAACTATTTGTACCAAACTGTTTTCCACACACTGTACAACTGTATGGTTTCTCACCAGTGTGTGTTCTTTGATGTTGTTTTAAGTTACACTTTAATATAAATTGTTTATCACACACTACACAATTGTAAGATTTCTCCCCAGTGTGTATTCTCTGATGTATTTTTAAGCTACTATTTGTACCAAACTGTTTTCCACAAACTGTACAACTGTAAGGTTTTTCACCAGTGTGTATCCTTTGATGTCTTTTTAATGCACTGTTTGTTACAAATTGTTTTTCACAAACTGCACAACTATAAGGTTTCTCTCTAGTGTGTCTTCTTTGATGTGTTTTTAAGTCAGTATTTGTACCAAACTGTTTTCCACAAACTGTACAAACGTAAGGTTTCTCCCCAGTGTGTATTCTTTGATGTGTTTTTAAATTACCATTTGTTCCAAACTGTTTTCCACACACCATACAAATGTAAGGTTTCTCCCTGTTGTGTCTTCTTTCATCTGTTTTTAAGTGAGTATTTGTTCCAAACTGTTTTCCACACACTGTACAACTGTGAGGTTTCTCCCCAGTGTGTCTTCTTTGGTATATTTTTAAGGGACTATTTCTATCAAACTGTTTTCCACAAACTGTACAATGATATGGTTTCTCTCCAGAGTGTATCCTCTTTTGTTGTTTTAGGTTATCAAATGGTTTTCCACAACTGTATAATGTATCATCACACTGATGTATATTAAATGTTGTTAGGTTATTTCTACTTAACTTTGTTTCTCCAATAATATTGTTGTTTGGGGATTTTACATCTTCTGTAAAGTGATCTTCTTGTTTTATAACATAACCAGTAAACTGACTTCCACAACAGATGTTCACACTGGTCTTTGTATCTAAAACAGATATAAATGATGTCACAAATTAGTTAATAATAAATATATTATACATTACTTAATTTGACAAACATATAAATATATGTCAATGTTCTAATATAATCAACACAAATATCAGTATCAAAGTATTAACCCATTCACTGCATATTTCCCAGTGCCCTCACATTGCATCTTGGACAAATGTTTTATGTTGTTGACAGTCTTTATGCCTTCCTCTGATGGGTCCAGGTTCATCATCTTGACTATCATCACTAGATGGAAAGCTAGCATCCTCTTGTCTCATTGCTTCTTCATCATCACACATTTGAACACAACTTGACTCACTTTCACTATCTTCTAAACTATCTGAGTCAAGCACATCATGCATACTTACACAGTAATTAGGGTTACTACTAGCTGCTGTAGTGATGCAGGCATGGTCAGCATGCTGTTGTCGTACATTTCACTTATGCATCCAACTGGTTACTGAAGGACTGAGTGGAAAACATTGAGGTAAATCATATATCAGTATTAGGTGGGATGACAATAAATACTTTACAACTTATTTTACTGCCGTACATCACGCATGGCGATATATATATATATACATCCAAGCCGCAGTGAAAGGGTTAAAGCTAAAACTAAGTTTAACACTTTATAGAAACATTTATACCTAGATCAGGATAGTATTGAAAACAAACTGTTCGTAACGTACCATGTTGAAGAGAGGTTTTTAGTAGACAAAGTCTAAAACGGCTTGTAGAAATATTATAATACAGTGTAACATCAACCAATGTTAACTTTCAGCCAGTAACTTTCTGACTTATGTGTTTGAGATATCTTTAATTTCAAGTGGTTGATTATCATGAAGTCTTCTAATGATTTGTCTACTTTAACATCAATGCTAAAGACGTAGACTAAACCAAAATGTTTATCTATATATTATTTATCAAGTTTATGTATCATTCCTGTAATTAGAAACTATTTGATTACTGACTTCAATATGTTAAATTAAGAGATTGGAGATTTGGGATTATTCAATTCTTAAGATTATATAGACTGGTAGTGTTCAGTATAATTACATCTGTGGTAATAAATGACAGCAGTACATTTTCTGAACATGAAGAACCATAAAATATAACAAACACTGGTCAGTTAGAAAGTTTCTTAATGTTTTGTCAACATTTTATCACATTAAAACTTTCACACAATAATTCCCAAGTAGAAATAACAAAACACAAACCAAACACAGATCTATAAACTTCAAATTAATTAAAAGATCACCAAGAATTCAACAAATTCCTTTGTCCACCTTACTACAAATAGGTCAAAGTGCATGCCATAACTTTTTAAACAGTTACATTCAAAATTTAAATAAACTGCTTTGTTATCATTATATATGAATCAAATGTTAATATAGATCTTAACTAACTCTAATTTTTAGGTTCTTCAAAATTCTTCGATATTATTTGTTTACAGTGTCTAGAACATCAGACCCACTTGCCACACCCACCTGTTTACAGTGTCTATAACATCAGACCCATTTGCCACACCCACTTGTTTGCAGTGTCTATTTCTTCTTTTCCATGCATGTCCTTTATTTATCATTATAAAAGTAACTAAAATTTAACTATTAGAAACTTAGTTGGTCAGTTAAGGTTAAATTAAGTAAGATAATTAAAACAAAAATATTAAACATTCTCTACAAGGTATTCTCACAAGCAGCTCATGCATTATGTCATCCAATACAATAATGTGAGCTACTTGTTTGATGAGTGATTTAAAACTTGTGTTGCAGGATTATTAGTTAGACACCATTAAAAGAAAAAGAACAATAAATTAAGTATAAACAGATGTACACAGTTATGAGCTTTCTAGGAATTCTAGTCATTCTAGGAAGTGTAACAAATTCATTTTTTGTTTTTACGATGTTTACTTATCATTCACATAATCAGAATGAGTATAGGGTTAGAGTAGGAAAAAAACAGATAAAATGTAAATTTGTACATAAAAGTTTAATTTTATCTTAAAGTTTTAAAGACACACAAACAAAATTTGGCAATTTTTAGGTGAGAAAAAGTATTTTTAACACAAAAATAGATTTTCACTTGGAGTAGACAGCACTCTGACTCTATGTTCATATACAAATCTTTAATTAAAATATTTAATTAAAAAAATTAATTTTTTGGTGTACAAAATACTTGTAATGATTACAGAAAGCTTGACAAATTCAGCAAATATACACAAGACATATTAAAAGTTATAGTATGAAAGCAAGTTACTTTAAGTTTACAAAGTCAGTGAGAAGTGTGAAGCCAGTTTCAATGAACTTTTTAAGTTTACTACACTAAAAATGTATTTCTGATAGATACCTATGCTCGCATAATAGCTTTTCTCATTTGGTGCTACTTTCTACATGCACACTTTATTGCTTTCCATTGATATTAACACCTACGTTTACATGTGCTACAGCTGCACGGTACACGTGACAACCCTCCATCAATAGCAGTGCAACAAACCCTCTTGGCACAGCTGACTCCCTCTACACTGCAGAACTCAATCTTTTATGAAAGATTAGGCAAAAACGAAACACCAGAAGTGGAGAGAACGGGTGGGAGGTATCTGTCAGAAATACATTTTCAATGTAAAAAAAATAATAACTTCCAATACAATACCTTACCTCCTCTCACATAATAGTTAGAATCCCACACTGAACTGGTGGAGAGACCAGTGCAAATTTACCTAGATGAGTACCCTTCAGAAAGTGACTGAAGAAAGCCCAGGGAATGTGACATCTCTATGTGGAGGAACACACCTATAGGAGACTGTACCACATCTGTATCAGGAATACTCATCACCAGGTGTGAAGATACATGTCGCTAAATTGGGAGGAAAGGATACACATCCAATCCATAATTGGAAGTGCCAAATGGTGTAGAGTGGTTAGGGTGTATCAGACCATAATTAGTGGGTCATCTCCAGTCCAAAACCAGGCAGCATCGGATATTTGTCTTCCAGTCTACAGTAGGAAGAGAATCCCAACCATCTTCACTTCAAACTTAGGAAGCAAAAGGGAAAATAACTTCCATTCAAACAACACAAGCAGGACATGTGGGTGTAGACCCAGTACACAACCAAAACCAGACCACCCAGAAACTCAACATCCAGGTGATGGTAGGAAAGGGGAAAGCGATGTGATGGTTCACTCGAATCCAAAACCTAGCAGCATTACGAACTTATAGTCAAGTCCATAATAAGATGAGAGCTCCCTACCATTCATATGTATGAGAACTTATGTTGGTTAATCCAGCACTATTCCTCCATCAAACCACCCAGGCACTGGTAGGATGAGTGATTCCAGCTAGAGGAGTGAACTATATTTGGTAGATCACACCAGTCCAAAACCAGGTGGCATCGGGTATTTGCCTTCTGGTTCATGGTATGAGGAGGGTTCACAGTATATACACTGACAGTGTATCATCGCTCTACTATCAACTGAATGAAATTGAGCACACTCAGAAGGATGGCTCCATTGCCACCATTTCAATGGCTAGGAGCTGGTAAGTGGCAAAGACTCCTATATTTTACTCCACAAAGGACACACACACACACACACAAAGTGCCAATTCATTCAACCAGGATCAGAGAAATGGACAGCTATCCAGACACTGCTTTACTCATGATAATTCACAACTTGGTACAGTCTGGGATAGACTTTATTTATGAAGCAAAATACTGTGAGGATACCTCTAGTGGTCTTCTGGAACATCCCATCTCAACAGTGAGCATAATAGACCTTTAAGACCAAAAGTGCAGATTTATGAATTAGCATACCTCGAAAGGCACCACTCACCAAAGAGAAGGATCCAACTTGTAAAATGGGCCACTGTAATGGAAAGATGACTTTATGATGTAAAGAATGTGCAATGAAAGTGTGAGGTGTGGTCCACTGTCAGCCTGCATGATCTCTATCAATGGATGACAGAAATGGGCAAAAGGGAGAGGATGATGATGATCCTGGTGTGAAGAAATCAGGAAAGTACGTCAGGAATCCAAAAATTATGAGAAATAACCCAAATAAAGTGAATCTAAAAACATTCATTTATAGGAAGGATTTCAATTGATAAAAAGGTGGGAAGAGAACCAAGAAAGGAAACCATGCAGGCAACATAAAACTGGAGAGCATGAATTGGACAGATAAAACTACATTTCAGAATGGAAATATAACTGGGAAATGGAAGGTAAGCAAATAATAGATGCTTTGCACAGGCTTAGGGCTTTCTTTTTATTTTATCTAACTGGATTTCTCTTTCAACACTTCATATTCTTACCAAGCCAATTTTGTTGTGTATGATAAGCTTAGAAGTATCGGTGGTTTAGTGTTTTGACTGTTGATTCTTAGCCTTGCTAATGCCAGCATCTGGCACCTGATTATTGGCTTTAGTTATTGACAAGGTATCATTGGTCTCAACGTTTGCTTCAAGGTACGACTCTTTCAAAACTTAAAATCTCAATTTCTATGTGCAGCTTATCTCTGGTGAGAGATGTTTGAGTGATATAATCTGGCAAGCAATCCTACTGTAAAATACCAACTGCTTCCAAGACAATTTCCTTACAGATATAAACTAAATGTTCTAACTTTAAATCTTCTACTTCTAATTGAACACTATACTTTCCTAGCATCTTACCTAAGATATAAAAGAAATATAACTTAACTATCTCTCTAACTATAGCATACTTATGTAAGAAACCACCATAAATTCTATAGACGATCAAGCTAATAACAATACTGACAGCAATTACATATACACTGTGAGGAAATCTGAGTGCCAATTTCAAATTAACCATTGGTGGAGTATAGTGTAAACAGGTTTTTATAATGACTATATACACTTGTGTCAACTAACTACATGTATTAGGTCGTCAAGAAATTAATGTCGCATTTTTTTAGATGAAAAAACCTGAACAACTTATATATAACAACAACACATTTATTAAATGAAATAGTCTCCATTCTTATT